TACGACTACGACGACTACTACTACTACTACTACTACTACTACTACTACTACTACTTTACTACTACTATTACCACTACCACTACCACTACCACTACCACTACCACTACCACTACTACTACTACTACTACTACTACTACTACTACTACTACTACTACTACTACTACGACTACGACTGCGACTACTACTACGGCACCTTTTACTACTATTACTACTACTGCTACTACTACTGCTGCTACTACTACTTCGACTCCTACTACTACTACTACTACTACTACCACCACTACGACTACTACTACTACTACGGCGACGACGACTACTACTACTACTACTACTACTACTACTACTACTACTACTACTACTACTACTACGACCTACTACTACTACTACTACTACTACTACTACTACTACTACCTACTACTACTACTACTACTACTACTACTACTACTACTACTACTACTACTACTACCACTACTACTACTACTAGTCAGCAGCATCACCACTCGCATCAGCAGCATCATCACCAGCATCATCAGCAGGAGCACCAGCATTAGCATCATTATCATCATCAGCACCGTCAGCATCACCTGCATCATCATCATCATCATCATCATCAGCAGCCGCATCATCATCATCATCATCATCAGCATCATCAGCATCATCCTCATCATCACCAGCATCAGCATCGTCACTATCACCATCATCCTCATCATCATGGCTCGTCCTCATCACCTCATCTCCCCCCCGCCTTCACACAACGATCATCGTCGACATCACCGACATCATCAGCAGCATCATCATCAGCAGCAGCACCACCACCACCATCGCTATAACCATCAGCAGCAACATCATTACCACCATCACTATCGGCATCGAAATCATCATCACCATCACCCTCATCGTCATCGTCATCATTGCCTCCGACAGCATCATCATCAGCAGCAGCAGCATCACCAGCATCAGCTTCGGCATCATCATCAGCATCATCAGAAGCATCATCAGCAGCAGCATCAGCATCATCATGAGCATCATCATCATCATCATCTTCGCCATCGTCGTCCTCATCGTCAGCATCATCATCGTCATCATCATCATCATTATCATCAGCAGCAGCATCGACATCATCATCGTCATCATCATCTGCATCATCAGCATCAGCATCATCATCGGCATCATCGTCAGTATCATCATCAGTATCGTCATCATCATCATCATCAGCATCATCAGTATCATCAGCATCGTCATCTTCATCATCGTCACCTCCAGCACCAACACAATCATCAACGACAACATCGAAATCACTATAGACCACTCCTGCTCACCCTCGTCTTCTTAGCCGTCGTCGTCATTGTCCTCATCCTCCTCCTCCACCTCCTCCTCCCGTTCCGTCCACCTTCTCCACCAACTCCCCATCCTGCTCCTCATCCTCGTCATCTTCGTCGTGTTCCCCCTCGTTGGCATAGTCCTTCCCCTGCTCATCAGCATCCTTCTCCTCCATCTCCGCCCAATACAACTCCACCTTCACCTTCACCTCCGACTGCACATGCTCCTCGTCCTCGTCGTCCACCTCGTCCTCCTCAGCAGCATCAGAATCATCGTCATCATCATCGTCACCACCATCAGCATCACCATCAGCATCAGCATCACCATCATTATCGCAGTCCTCCTCCTCCTCAGCAGCATCATCATGATCACCACCATCACCATCACAATCATCATCACCATTAGCCTCATCAGCATGCTTTCTCCTCCTCCTACTCCGCCTCCTCCTCCGAATCAGCATCATCATCAGCATCGTCAGCAGCAGCAGCAGTATCATCATCAGCAGCATCAGCAGCAGCATCATCAACTTCAGCATCAGCATCATCTTCATCAGCTTCATCATCACCATCACCATCATCGTCATCATCATAAGCATCATCGTCGTTGACATCGCCATCGTCATCATCAGCAGCATCCCCATCAGCAGCAGAAGCAGCAATATCACCATCATCATCGCCATCACCATCATCCCATCACCATCACACTCATCAGCATCATGGTCGTCAGAATCGTCATCACCACAACCATCAACAGTATCATCATCAACAAAGTATCGAAATCAGCATAGCCCACTCCTCCTCATCCTCGTCTTCTTTCTTGTCGTCGTCACTATCCTGCTCGTCCTATTCCTCCGCGACCTACTCCTCCCTTTCCGTCCACCTTCTTCACCTTCTCCCCATCCTCCCTCTGCTCCTCCTCCTCCTCCTCCTCCTCCTCCTCCTCCTCCTCCTCCTCCTCCTCCTCCTCCTCCTCCTCCTCCTCGTCACCCTCGTTGTCTTCCCCACAGCCCTGTCGTCCAAGGTGGGTTGAGGGGGGCGCGACTCGAAGGGGCGCAGACCTCCCGAGTCGATGGCATGGCGTGCCGTGGCGCTGGATGCAGCGCTCTCGGCGGCGGTCAGGACGGCGATCGGGACCGTTTTCAACGAGGGGGGCCAGGAGATGGAGATGGAGGAGCAGCAGGAGATGGAGCAGGAGGAGGAGGAGGAGGAGGAGGAGGAGGAGGAGGAGGAGGAGGAGGAGGAGGAGGAGGAGGGAGGGGGAGGGGAGGGGGAGGGGGGGGGGAGGAGGAGGCGGAGGAGGAGGAGGAGGAGGAGGAGGAGGAGGACGAGGAGGGCGAGGAGCAGCAGGAGATGGAGCGGGTGAAGCCCACGGAGGCGCCGAGGGCCACAGCATGCCCCAAGCCGAGAGTTCGGCAGCTCTGCTGCCGGCGATGGAGGACCGCGAGGACGACCAGGACCAGCAGGAGCTGGAGGCGCCGCCAGGCAGGAGAGCCCAGAATCGAATCGATAAGTCGGATCGGCAATCGAAATGAATCGGATCGGCGGAAATCGGCAGCCGAGTCGGGAAAAGTCGAATCGGCAGACATCGGCAGCCTAGTATGTGTCCAATAAGAAATCGGAGCCCAAATCGGAAGCCGAAATCGAATCGAATCGGAATCGGAATCCATCGAAATCGGATCGAATCGAATCGGGGGAATCGAAACGAGCCCTGCCGCCAGGGTGCCGGTCAGCCCCCGAGCCGAGGCGTACGAGGTGGCCGAGGACGGCGCGCTCGAGCCCGACGCGCACAGCTGGCGTGGCAGCGTCGTCTGGGGGAGGAGGAGGAGGAGGAGGAGGAGGAGGAGGAGGAGGAGGAGGAGGAGGAGGAGGAGGAGGAGGAGGAGGAGGAGGAGGAGGAGGAGGAGGAGGAGGAGGAGGGAGGAGGAGGAGGAGGAGGCGGAGGAGGAGGAGGAGGAGGAGGAGGAGGAGGAGGAGGAGGAGGAGGAGGAGGAGGAGGAGGAGGAGGAGGAGGGAGGAGGAGGAGGAGGAGGAGGAGAGGAGGAGGAGGAGGAGGAGGAGGAGGAGGAGGAGGAGGAGGAGGAGGAGGAGGAGGAGGAGGGGGAGGGAGGAGGAGGAGGAGGAGGAGGAGGAGGAGGAGGAGAGGAGGAGGGAGGAGGAGGGAGGGGAGGAGGAGGGAGCGGAGGAGGAGGAGGCGGAGGAGGAGGAGGAGGGCGAGGAGCAGCAGGAGATGGAGCGGGTGAAGCCCACGGAGGCGCCGAGGGCCAGAGCTCGCCCCGAGCCGAGCTCGGCAGCTCTGCTGCCGGCGATCTCGAGGACCGCAGGGAGGACCAGGACCGGCAGGAGCTGGAGGCGCCGCCAGGGTGCTGGTCAGCCCCCGAGCCGAGGCGTACGAGGTGGCCAAGGACGGCGCGCTCGAGCCCGACGCGCACAGCTGGCGTGGCAGCGTCGTCTGGGGGAGGAGGAGGAGGAGGAGGAGGAGGAGGAGGAGGAGGAGGAGGAGGAGGAGGAGGAGGAGGAGGAGGAGGAGGAGGAGGAGGAGGAGGAGGATGGAGGAGGAGGAGGAGGAGGAGGATGGAGGGAGGAGGAGGAGGAGGCAGTTCGGGCTGTGCGCCGCGCGCGCTCTTCCAGCGGGCGCCGGAGGCCAGCCGGCGGGAGCAGGCTCTCGAGGCCGAGCAGCAGCCGAGGGAGGTGCCGCAGGTGCGCAGCGGGTCCGTCCAGAGGGAGTACGGGCGCCGCTTCGCGGACGGGACCCTGAAGAGGGAGATAGAGGTGAAGGAGCCGAAGCACAAGATGGCGAAGGAGGAGCGGACGGAGTTCTTCGGGGAGGGGCTGGACGCCGCGCCCTGGAGGAAGAGGAGCCGCAGCCGCCGCTGAGCAACAGCCAGGACACGGTGCGGGTGTTCCACTTGGCGGACGGCGACGACGGCGACCACGAGGACGAGCACCAGGAGGAGGTGGACGGCTTGCGGAGCTGTTACGACCTCTCGACGGAGCAGCTGGGCGAGCTGGAGGGTTCGGCGGACAGGGAGCGGTCGGACGTGCACGACTTCGCGCAGGCCACCGCGGTGTGCCTCGAGAGCCTCGCGGACGGGGTCGGCGAGTACGTAGAGCAGTTCGTGACGTCAAAACTCTTCGATGTGGTCCTCTTGATTCGGGCCGCTGGGCGAGGAGAAGACGCACAAGGGGAAGAAGGGGCGGAAGGGCCGTGGGCAGAATCCCACGGATCCAAAACAGCCAGCGCCTCCAGGTGGTGAGACGGACGGGCTCATCCCCAAGAAGCGGGGCAAGAAGCTGAAGGCGGCGAAGACCGCCGAGCACGCGGAGAGCAAGACAGCCAACACGGTGAGCAGCAAGGTGAGCCTCACTGACGAGGTCGTCAAGCCTGCGGAGTCGCACGAGAAAATCATGAAGGATGAGCCGTCGGAAGCTGGTGGATTGCCAGCAGCAGCGGTTGAGGCCAACCAGAAGGCGTTCCAGAGGGCCGACGTCGCGCAGGAGAGCCGCCTCGCAGTGTGGAGGCTCGAGCACGCCTCGCTGGTAGAGGTCACCGGCTCATGCTGTTGGAGCTTCTGGCCGGCGACCTCGGACAAGGAGTGCGAAGTCGCGTCGTCGGAGTTCGAGGCGGACGTGGGCCGCGCGATGCACCTGCTGGTGAAGGGGCTCGTCGAGGAGGGCTCTGGCCCAGACGGGGAGGCCCTGTTCGGCTCCCCCGCCTGGAGTGCCCGGAGCCCAGCGCGCCGTAGTCACCGGGACGCTGCTTAGCGTCACGGGGCTCTCTGGGGAAGCTGGCCAGGGGGCTGAGGGAGGAGCTGGGAGTCCTCTGCCACTTCCGAGCTCCGCGAGCTTCCTGCGGTCGATGTGATCTGAGTTTTCGGGGATCTGGGGGGGGGGCGGGCGCCCATCTTGTGCTTCGCAGTCGGGTGCTCCATCTTCTGCTTCACAGTCGGGCGCTCCATTTTCTGCGTCACAGACGTGGTGCGTTCCGTTTTCCATTTCTAATGTAGTAATTCCCGAAGGGTTGCCAATTGCGCGCTCTTCTGCCTACGCGTTCTTCCGGATGCTTGGCTCTGTGGTGGTGGTGGTGGTGGGGGGGGACGGTCCCTCCCCAGAGCCGACCCTGGGAACGGCCTCCCCCTGCGTTCGGGGGGGAGGCGGGAGTTCCCAGGGGGGCGCCTTCCGGCGCGGTCTGCGGTGCAGGCTCGGGGGGGGGACCGCCCCCCCCCTCGCGGGATGCGAGGCGTCGTCAACGGATTTTCTGATCCAACTGATCCGCCGTCTTCCCCCTCGTTGGTGTCCTCCTCCTCCTCCTCCTCCTCCTCCTCCTCCTCCTCCTCCTCCTCCTCCTCCTCCTTCTCCTCATAATCCACCTCCACCTTCACCTCCAACTCCACACTATCCTCCTCCTCCGTCTTCTTCTCCTCCTCCTCCTCCCCCTCCTCATTAGCATCATAATCATCATCATCATCATCATCATCATCATCATCATCATCATCATCATCATCATCATCATCATCATCATCATCATCATCATAATCAGCAGCAGCATCATCACAACCATAATCAGAATTATCGTCAGTATCACAACCACCACCACCACCATAAGCATCATCATCAGCAGCAGCATCATCATCCTCATCATCAGCAGCAGCATCAGCATCAGCAGCATCAGCATCATCATCATCAGCAGCAGCATCATCAGCAGCATCATCAGCATCATCGCCATCAGCATCATCATCAACAGTATCACCATCATTTCATCATCATCACCATCATCATCATCATCATCATCATTATCACCACCATCACCAATAACAACAACAACAACAACAACAACAACAACAACAACAACAACAGCAACAACAACAATAACAACAACACGATCACCATCGTCATAACCACTATCATCATTATCACGATCACCACCATCATCATGACCTTCATCATCTTCATCCTCATCATCAACAGGATAACCATCAGTATCATCGTCAGAATCGTCATCATCAGCATCAGCATCAGCATCAACATCATCGTCATCACCGCCATCATCAACAACGTAACCAACAACAACCTTGATGTCAAAATCGGCATCAACATCAACATGAAAATCAACATCATCATCAGCATCATAGCCAGCACCACCGCAATCATCATCGCCATCAGCATCGTAATGCCCATCATCATCAGCCGCACCAGCGTCATCAATATTACCCCCACCATTACCATCATCATACTGTTCATCCTCCCCCTCCCGTATCCCACCCCCTTCCCGTGGCGGAACCTCCTTGACGCCAGCCTTCTGCAACATGATCAACGCCCAGCCGCCGGCCCCAACGTACACGAAGGGGGTCTTGTACAGGCTCACTCCGCGGCCTGCGCTCGCAACGCAAGACGAAGGAGGTTGAGGCGGTGGGGAACGATGTGAGGACAAGGAGGAAGAAGGAGGACGAGGAGGAAGGAGGAGGACGACGACAGGGAAGGAGGAGGAGGAGGAGGAGGAAGGAGGAGAAAGGCATGAGGATGAGGAACGCGTTACGGGGGGACTAGCTCGGAAAGAGAAATGTCGAGCTTGGATCGGCGATACTTCGCCGATACATACATAGGCCCAGATAGCAAATCCACAGGTCAATGGGCGGGGTGGACTACCGGACCCCTTATCGGCGATCCAGGTACGATTAAGGGTCGATGCACCCCCCCCCCCTCGAGACTGTCCCCCCCTCACGTTGCCCCTGGAGGAGGGAGGAGGGAGGATGTTCCACCTCCTGGCAGGAGGTTCGCAGCCCCCAGCGACGGCGAGGCACTATCCGATCTGAATCGGGCGTCACTCCGCTGGAGCCCCCAAAAGGCACATGACAATGGCGACAGTCTGGCCCTTCGCAGCCCCCAGCGACGTCGAGGGTCTCATCTGATCTAACTAGGACGTCGCCCCGCTGGAACAGTCAGAGGCTCACGAAGGTGGCGACAGTTTCGCAGTCCGCAGCCCCAAGCGACGGCATCTGATCTGAATAGAACGTCACTCCGCTGAACCCTTCAGAGGCCCACGAAAGTGCCGACAGTTTTGCAGTCCGCAGCCCCAAGCGACGGCGAGGTCTCATCTGATCTGAACAGGACGTCACTCCGCTGGACCTCCCAGGGGCCCACGACAGTGGCGATATGTTCCGCAGTTAGCCGCCCCCAGCAACGGCAAGGTATCATCTGATCTGAATAGGACGTCACTCCGGTGGGCCCCAGCAGCACTCGAAAATGGCCTCAGTTTCGCTGTTCTCAACCCTCCAGGGACGGCGAGCTCTAATACGTTCGGTACACACTATGCTGGACGGCCCAGAGGGCCACGAAAGTGGCGAAATGCTCGCAGTTCGCAGCCACCCAAGGATGGCGAGGTAGGAGGCAGGTAAGAGGTATGAAAGAGAGAGAGAGAAGAATCGGGAGAAGGACCTGGAGACCGCAGTGCTACAATACATGAGTGCTGGGAAATAACTAACATCATTGCAGAATGGCCAACTTGAAACTTGTCATCACGAGGTGCAGCGCAAGGGCGCAGAGGGAAAGAGGGAAAGGAGGAGGGGGAACGGAAGAGAGGAGAGTGCGGGAGGTTTTCAACAGAAAGGGGGGAGATGGAGAACACCGTGTCGAGAGAGACGAGTAGCCAGGAGGAGAATCTGGGAATGGGGCGAGAGAGAGTCATCGGCTGCCAAGGGGGGCGACGTTGGTGGAAGAGGGGAGATGACAGAAATCGGGCCCGAGGCTCAAACGACTGTCAATGCCAAGCCTGTGCTTGTGTTCTTCGTGGTGACAATCCACTTGCCGTCTTTCTTGTCCTTTCGGCATGAACAAAACAAGAACAAGAAGCCGTAAACCAGAATCCCTACTCAACCTGCTGAGTAGCTCGCACGGGCGTCCCCCGTCCCACGTATCAGACATCACATCAAAGCGTCCAGGCTCCTTTCCTGCTAGCTCTCCGCTACTCCTCCTCCTCTCCTCCTCCTCTCCTCCTCCTCCTCCTTCTCCTCCTCCATTCCTGTTCCCTAAAACAAGATACCACACAAGTACAATCCGTACGCAGTACATATGCAATGCAATCATAATATACATACAACAAATGTGCAAACCTATATATATATATATTTAAAAAAGTTCTGTTTTAAATGATATATTTGTATATTTAATTTTAAATAACAAAAAAATAAAAATAAAAAAAATAAAAAAAAATGCAACTAGAAAGTGTGTCCCTTCCCGCACGCACATGATGTTTAGACTTGCCCCGTTCCTCATAGAACCGCTTCGCTCCATGGTGCGCCTCAAACACAAACCCGATAGAAATTACCACACGCACGGAACTGGAACAAGGCCCCCCCAGGAATCCTCAAGGTTTCGGCAGTCGTAGCGCTCGCAGGGGAGACCTCACGGACTCATCTGGATCCAGCAAATCCCTTTTCAGGATTTCTGCGGATGCCTCAGGAATCGCCGGGATTCTTCAATATTGCCAAAATTCGCAAAAGATCCCGTAATATTCCTTTGACACCTTCAGGACTCCGCAGATTCACTTGGGATGCCGCGGGATATTCTGGGGTCTCACAGGGTTCCCCATT